TAGGCGTTGAATTCTTTGCGGTACCACTTTTTCTGGAGTCATTCAGGATACTTGTTGAGTTTTCAGCGCATGCAAGGTGTATCAAAAAAACTCCTTTATTTCCAGTTCCTTTCCAAGTCTTAGTGATATATTTTAAAGGATCAGCTCAGAAGAAAATTCTTATTCAAAGTTGTTCTTTTAAGATTGACAGCTGCGTAGGTGGCGCTGTCGCTAGGCATTTCTAACTTTGCTACAAAATCTTATTGGACTAAATGGCTACCATGAGCTTGGGCTCATCCTACTGCATTATCCCATCAGCAAGTCTTCAGCCTTTTTAGAATTGTCTCTAATCCAACGTGAATACTTCTTTACGCCAGAACAAACCATCAACAACTTTATGCATAATCCTAGCATAATGGAAGGAGAAACAAGATTTTGTTTCGGGTACTAATCCAAGCTCAGGAAGCTTTCACAGCGAATGACTTTAGAGGATTAATAAATAAAAGTTATCACGATCACTGAGCATATTTATTTGAGCACACCGTTTGTCTAAAGAGAATGACTCTGTTCTTTTATTAAACCTGACCCATTCATACTCACATATTTTCTTAAATCTTACGGCTACTAGGACATTGAAGGCACCAGGAGAATTTTCAATTCCAGGCCGCTTTTTTTAACCCTTTCGAGGTGATACACGAACAGCAGCTTCAATCCGTAAGATTGTAAGAAACGAGATATTGGGCCCTCTTCTGATTGACCAGGACGAGTGGCAGGATGCGATTCTAAATTCGCGATATTATAGTTGATCTATTGAGAGAAGCCAAACATGGGCGGTGCTGAGGAAGAATACTGACAATGAGTGGGGGAGTGACGTAAAACTTGCGAGTTGACTTACCCGACCGAAGCGATTTTTCGTTTACCACGACGAATGCCTGAATTTGAGTTATAGTTTAGTCAGAGAATCGGATATCATTGAGAACATCACTTTTAATGTTGAAGAAAGATAACCTAGTAGTTTTTTAACAGCTATACATTTTCAAAATCTTATCACAATTCTTTTTATGTTTATCTAGAAACGATACGACGAGCTTTTCTATTTATGATCACTGGAGGAACATTAGACATTATTGGTCTCTTTAACTCCATCATTTGCTGCATCTTGCCGCGTCCATACAGTTCTTTGTTCACTGCCACTATTATTCACATAAATGCAGGTATGCACTGCGACGAAGTTTTATCTTTTCTGCACCTAGTGCAGCCAAACATAGAAATAGTATATATATATATATATATATATATATATATATATATATATACTATTCAGAAAGCGAATGTAGATGCCAAGTCAAGTCGTTTGTAATCTCTAATTTTTCTGTCATATGTGAGAATGAGAAGGCAAATCTAAATGAGATAAGGAGCACTGTCTTTTGAAAAGGAACTCCTTAAGAAAGGGATGAAAAATGTGAAATCAGAACTTTATGTGTTATTAACACTTTAGGAATAGCAAACTTTCTCTGTATCATCGTATTCATGTCTGCTGTATCAAAGGAGGTTGGGAACAAAATCCATCCAGCCAGCGAAATGGATGATCCACTATTCCACTTTGAATATGGATTCTCTTTCATTCTATTAAAGGTTGTTAGTCTATACTAAAAGTCTCCGTTCTATATAAATCGATTAAAAATAGTGATTTCAGGGTTCTTTTCTTCTTACCGAGCTGGCCGCGCTATTTTCTATAGTTGTGTACATGGCAAAACGAGATGAAAGGACTTTCAACCGCTACAAAATACGTAGTTTGTTAAATTA